AACATAATAAGAATTAACAAATTAAATATTTAATCTCCTTTATTAATGGTTATTCACATGCTTGAAATTTAAATTACGCGGTCGTTCTTAAGACGTCTACATGATTATTTTTAGCATGACAATACCTATTAAAGATGAGAAATAGAAAAAGAAGATGAGAAGATTGATTGAAATACCTTATAAACAAGTTGTATTGAACTTTCAAATATGAAGATAGGTGCTTTTTGACAATCTTTCACACTACAAAAATACCTTACAGATCTCAAGAAATACAAAAAGAGAGAGAGAAATTTCGAGATATATGGAATTCCATGTGAATTTTTCTGGCCCCGGGAACTGTGCTTGAGACTGCTATTTGTAGACATCAGAAGTGGTCAGAATGACCCGTTCTAAATCTGGAACGACCCGTTCTGAATCCCTTCGTTATGTGCTAATTTTGTATCTGAAACGACCTATTCTTAACCTAGAACGACCCGTTCTAAGGTTGAGTTTAACACATAACTGTCTATGTTGGAATGACCCGTTTCAGACTAGGATTTTAGGCCCTTTTTGGTGATTTGGACGACCCGTTCCAGTTTAGGAACGATCCGTTACCATTGGGAACATGCCTTTCCAGCTTGAGAACAACCCGTTTTGGACTACTAAATAAGCTTTTGTTGGGTTTTAGGCCTTCTGATGTCGTTTCCATGCTTTGGAGCTCCTCTTCTTCTCAAAATAAAAGTCCTTGCTTAAAATCTGGACGAAATTAGGTGTCTACAATAATCAATGATAATACTTAATAGCTTCATGACCATTTAAAAAGTTATATATGTATCTTATTTTATTTTAACCATTTAAAAATAACTATTCGTTAATTATTAATAGGAAAAGGCATTATGTTTCTCTGTTTATATAAAAAAAATTAAGAGTGATTAATTAGAGTTTTACATAGAAGTAAAAAATAATAATAACAATTTAATAAAATGATAGTAATACAAAGGGGTTTATAGGTAGTTATTAAAAGAAAAAAATAGTTCAAGAGGTTGTGTATAAAAAACAACATGTTATCTTTATATATTATTATAATTATAGTGAACATAACAATTAAAAATAATAAAAAAATAAGTAAATGTTTAATTTTATGGGCACGTTTTATATGTGAATTAAATTTCTAATGCCACACATGGATATTTAAAGCATTAGAGAAGATTTATTTCAAAAGAAAAACATGTCTTTCAAATGAAATAGATGATTATCATGTGAAGAAAAAAATACTCTTATAAATATACTTTTTCGTGATTCATAAAAAATATCTTCTATAATTTAAAATAATTATCAAATTTGTGAGAGTTTTATTCTCCTTACTTTCTCATGTTTAGATTTTCTTCTAATAGACAAAGGTGGATGTAAAAAGATATGAGTAACCTGTAAATTCAAATTGATCTAAACTTGCTAAAATGAGTTTAGAACAAAATTTTGTGTGTTTAGGTTAAACCCGACTCGACTTGTTTAAAAATTTGACACTATATAAATCGAATAATAAATTTTGTATTTTTTTATTTTGTAATTTGACATAGTCATATATAATAACAGAATATAATAATAATTTAATGTGATTACTTGTTCAGTACAATATTCACTATTACTCTTGCTCTATAATAGGTTTTATGTTTTTGGATTAATAGTATTGTAACAATATAATATATTTATTTTAAATTTTATTTTATACTAATGTTGTTTATTTGAGGTGTGATATTAATGCAGCAAATCCACAAAATTATTTTAAATTTTAGTTCATACCATTATTTGTTTTATGGATTGATAATGTTGTATTTGCAGCAACATATAAAATTATTTACATTTATTATAAAACATTTAAATTCTTATAAAAAATAAATTTAATTATGTTGACTCGATTGACCTAGTCAAATTCAATCTATTGGCATTCATGATTAGCTTAGATTAGTAATTATTTATTTTTAGTATAATTTTTTTAATCATTTTTTATTTTACAACATGTAAATTTGAAATATTATTTTAAAGATTTGAAACAAATTCCATTTTGTATCAATTATATATTGATATATATTATATATTTTATACTATTAAGTTTTTGTTATTATGTTTTGAAGTTATATACTCATTGGCTTTTTGGGAACTTAGACTAATTAGGCTAAGTGAGACAATATTTTCAAATTTTGTTATTATTAAGTAGATTTTCTTTAAAATAGTTCAAACTTTTATAAACCTAGATTAGGTAAATACAATTTTTTCCTTTTTAAAAAAATGAGATAAATATATTGAACTAACTTGTGCATTAATTTTGAAAATAGAACAAATATATTTATTTAAATTTAACCAAACATATTGCAGTTTATCGATGTAGACCTCGTATAGATGAAGACACTAACTAATCTCTCAACACGCCATATATTATGACGATACGAGCATGATGATCATATTACAAACATAAACAGAAAAGATAAACATGGAAACACAAGTACTACAAAAGTATGTGAAGTGAGTGACATACATTATGCATAAGGAATATTTACAAATAGAAAAAACAATAATATCAATGCATGAGATCATTTTAAAAGTTATTATATTTTTTTTATTCATAAAAATTATAATATAATATTTATTTTTATTTTTTTTATTTTTTTTTAAGTTTGTAGTGCAGTGGATAAAAAGTCAAAGAATTGATTAATTAGAACTTGTAGTACATAAAATCATAATCTTTAAGTACAAGGTCAACACCAATAGAATAGGGCAATGCTAAAGACATATTGAGCTCCTTATAAGGCCATGACATGAGGTGTATGAATGATACAAATAAAAATTGAAAGATAAGAGACCCTGATGTTATTAGTAGGTAAAGTTTAGTTACATAGGGTTGTTTATGTTTGAAACCCAACAAATAAAGAATAAGTAACAATGTAAACACGTTTAAAAAATAATAATAACCTATTGTATTAACATGTTTGCTCACTTTTAAAAAAAATGTTAAATTCACAAAATACTCTATTAACAATCACAAAACAAAAGTATTTTAGAGATATCATGAGCTTTTAATATCATGGGTGCAAAATCACTATAGGATCAATATCACGTTTACTTTGTCTATTTTACTAGATTGAGGTGCAACAATTTTTAAATAGCAACATGTACTTGCTCCATATGGCTAAAAGTCACATTTGACTACTATGGTTACTAAAGACAAAAAATGTTTACTGGCAAATAGATGGTGCACTATTGAAACAAAAAACATCAAACAAAACATAAAGACTCTAAAAAATCTTTGAAGTGTTAAATAAATTACACACCAACTCAATTATTGGGCATTAAATGTAGAGTTAAAAGATAGATATTTAGGTAGACAACAAAACTTGATTAATTGATAATTTATACAAATGGTAAAGATTCCAAAATTCACATCATGGCAAGGCAAAGATAATAAAAGGAAAAAAAATTGTGAGATAAAGGCTCATCATGTAATAGTAGAAGAAAACTAAACAAACTTTTAAACAAAAATAAAATGCTTTCTCTCTCTTGTCTAAAGTATAGCCTAAAAATATTTTTTATATATAAAAAATAAATTTATGGGTCAACTCGTTTCACCCACTTCCAACCTACTAAGTTGGTAAGTTATGCAAGGTTGGTGGCTTAATCATCTAAACAATCTCAACTTTCATTATAACTTATATAAATTAATTTAGTGTGTTTAAACTCGTTACATTCTTGTCAAGACATAATAATACAAAACACTTTGTATTCTTTATCACTTATCCCTATCCAGGTATAATTTAGTGTCATCATGTTTTTATTTAAAAATAGTTTTACAAGTTTTTTTTTAAAGTAACATGAAATATAATAATTTGGTCCCATTGTGTCAAACATCCTTAGTCACAATACAATAAGGAACAAAACACACTTGTTAATTATTAATAGGAAAAGGCATTATGTTTCTCTGTTTATATAAAAAAAAATTAAAAGAGTGATTAATTAGAGTTTTACATAGAAGTAAAAAATAATAATAACAATTTAATAAAATGATAGTAATACAAAGGGGTTTATAGGTAGTTATTAAAAGGATTATAGAGATAGATAATAAACACTTTTTTTTAACTTAAAGTTATGATTTAACACTTATATTTAATGAACTACTTAAACATAAAATTGAGACTCCTAAATGAGTCTTGAGAGAGAATTATCAAAACAAAAATAAAAAGTGTCACATGACCTATTAACCATGTGACTAGAGAATTGATTCTTAATTTATTTATATGAATAAATTCATTAAAAAAAGTTAATTTTTCAAATAAATTTTTGTGTCTCAAGAAATTAGTTATTTAATTTTTGGTTATGGAATATTCTATATTTTCAAAAAAGACCGAGACATGACTACAAAATTTAAACACGAAAACAAGCTTAAGTAAAGATAGAAATTCACAAGGAACTGATAATCCAAAAAGTTTTGAATGCTTCTTGCTGGCAAGTGGACAATAATAATATTTCTCCAACTTTGGAGGAGCAATCATATGTAGTGTATTTTATTAACTCTCAGTTTTTTTTGCAAATAATAATATTTTTTTTACTGATTTTTCAAAATTATTTTTGATAATTTAAACAAGCGCTCCATCTGTGTCGATCTAATAATTCAGAATCACAACCAATGATTAATTCCCACATAGTTTCTATCTATTTTTAAATAAAAAAATTGGCCAATTTTTGTATTAAATTAACAATTTAGTAAATATGCATAAAGAAAAATAAATCCTGGCACCAGCTATTTAAATTTGAATTTAATTGAAATTCAGAAAATATATATACGATGATACATGATGATGGTTGTGAATTGTGATGCTATTATTCATTCATCACTTGTAAACAATCTTTCTCCCGCGATTGAAGGTTGTTTTTGGTTTCTCTCTCTCACACACACTCTT